GCTGTTGACCAGGTCGGGTGTGGTGGCCTGGCATGGGCTGGCCGAATATTCGCAGCCTCAATGAGGCGAATCGCTCTCGTGAGCAGCAGTTGTTGATCGGAGAACTGTTCAGGGAGGAAATCTCGCCAAGCTGTCCATCCTTCTGCAGTGGAGAGTAGCTGGTATACCGCATATTCATGCACTGTTTTGGTGAGGCCCAATTGGGTGACATGTGCTTCCCAATCATCTGTCATCGCAAGCGATGGGCCATACACCTTTGTTTGCACAAGATTTTGCAGGAAAATATCATAGTCGTGTTCGCCATTAAGTAGGCCACCCCCTAATCCACCGCAATGCACTTCCAGGGGTCGGTCTTGCATTGGGGCGTCATCTTGCCAGACTTCTGAGAGGGAAAGGACCCAGGAGGCCCACTCGGCAGAGCCTTGAAGCGCTACGGGCAGCGCAGCTTCAGGTTGTCTTCCAATGTAATTTTGTTTGGATACTTCTCCAACATCTAGGGCCTGCTCATTGACAGTGACTTCCCATTTAGCCATCTCTCTGAAAGGTAACGGAAGACCAAACTTTAGGAGAGCTGCTTGCTGCAGCGATGTACATGAGGGTTCCGATTGTTCCTTCCGTTGCCACAGTCCACACAGCAAGATTAGTTGAGCTTGGGAGAGAAGAGGAGGAGGCACTTTGGCATGCAGTCGAAGACCAACCACTGGAAGGAAATTGTGATGCAGCCATTGGGGCTTCCATTCTTGTGTACCAAATAAAGCCGCAACCAGCGGCAACCAGCCGAATTGGGCGAGGTCAGCGAGACTGCTAGGCATTCTTTTCTTGGCACTGGTGCCAAACCCATGCAGAATAACAGGCCGCATGTAATGTGGCTCGATTGCCATGGCTTGGTACATCTTGTCTCCTGGTAGCACTCGTACACTGACCTCACCTGGCAGCAGGCTGAGGGTCGGAAGGGCACCTTGCTCGTAGGCAGGCCGAGCCCATTTATGGAAGTTCGGTTGTCTGCCTTGGTAGCCATCAAGGATCCTCCGTAAATGACCATGGCGCGGCCAGACTCCAGAGGCTGGAGCCGGAAAAGTGACTAATCCAGACCACTGGCCTAACAAACTCCACGCATGGCACCAATCTGCAGTAACACGGGTGGACGTGCCAAGCAGAGGAGAGCCAAGTAATCCACTAGCGACTGCTTGCTCAACGTCTGCAGGTGGATATGTAGTAGCAAGGTAGGCTTCGACATGTCTATGGTAAGCACTGGTAACAACGCGGGCTATTTCATCAGGATCCGTATCCGAGTCCTCCAAGGCAGTGACAGGTACAGGACTCTCATGACCCGAAGCTAATACGATGACCAGACCCGCGTTGATTTCAGTGAATGCCTCACTCACAAGGATGACTCCTTTGGGCCTACGCGCAGTGGCAGTTTCATCCACGGCTGCTTTGTCCTTCCGGGTAGGTTTGGTTGATCCAGCCGGGGAGGAGTCATCGCTGCTGGACGTCGCCCGGCGAGACATGCGGGGACTCGGGTCTGGCGAATCACCATAGTCAACTTCGTCTGCCAAATTGGCACCGTAGGTGAACGGAGGGGCTCGTGGTGGATCAGCTGTTCGGACAGCAATATGGTCCGCACTATGCGATCTGGATAGCTTCGATGGTGGACCAGGCTGCTGCATGTCCCTTCCCGTGTCCACAGAGCACGCACGTTTGTGCGATGACGCAATGGGGCTTGACAGTTTGCTCTTTGCAGCTTTGCTTGATGTAGCTGGGCGGGTTGGGTCAGTGCTCGCTAGCCAAAGTTCTCGTATCTCAAAGAGGGTCACTGGCACACAATTGCTATCGATCAGTGCAAAATTGATGGTCGGAAAGAGGAACACACAAGCATCAAGGATGTACGTCCCTGCCCATGTCGGGTGTACGCTGCGTCTCACTTTAGTGATGAGCCTTTATAAAACCTTGCTCACAGGTGGTGAGCCACCGTCCTCTTCCTTGCGCGTGCTGCGTCCTTTCCTCCGCGTTCGCGTTTCGAAGTTTCTGGAAGATTGACTTCTGAAACCTCCGTTTTTAAACAACTTGAATCTTCTGTGGTTTGAAGTTGTTTTTGAAATTTGCGGTCTTGAACTTTCAACATGTCCAACTTCAGTGTGCTGTGAGTTTTCTCATTTGGAATGTTATGATCAGTCGTTCACCGCGTTTTTAAAATTTCAAGGGAGGGTGGGTGGGATAAAAGTTCTCACTACCCGGAGTTTCAAATGGGGGTAGTGAGTTTCGTAGGCTGTTTGCTGGCAATGGATCTCCTGATACATGCTTCTGCTTTTCAGTTGGGCGTCAGGAAGTCTGGAATCAAGTTACCGTGGGAGAGAGAGCCTCTGAACCCAGTTTTTGCAAAGAGGGCTAGGCTGATACAACCACCCGTTTATGTGCCAGTACTCACAGTACCAGAGCAGATGGTGGACATCCCACGGGTTGAAACTGAAGGTCAGATCAGATGGTCACGAAAGACCTCTTTGATTCCATGGCCGATTGCTCAAGATCGAGCTCTTGCAAGAGCGCTGGAAGCATGGAGGATCATCCTCACAGACAATTTGCAGGGATCTATGGTTGGCAGACAAATTGAAGAGGCACTTGCTGGAGACCCTCAGTCACAGTCAGTTGAGAAGATCATTTCAGATGTACTCTCTGGCAAATCAATCTCGACTTTAAAGGCCAGGTCGTCGTCGTTGTTGACTTATGGTCGATGGAGAAAAGGTTTAACTCCAGATGCTCCAATTTTTCCAATGGCGGAATTGCAGGCATACACTTATGTGCGTGAACTCAGGGAACACAATGCACCTCGTACCAGGGCGACACGATTCCTGGAAGCTGTTTCGTTTGCACACCATTTGCTAGGAGCTGATGTTGGAAACACTTTGAGGTCGTCAAGAGTGAAAGGTGCAGCAACAGTCCCTTTAGTCATTCCGAAGAAGAAGACTCCACTGACCATTTCACAGGTACGTTTTCTGGAGCATATTGCCATTTCTGGGACAGGACCTGAGGCAGTCTTCTGTGGATACGTGTGCATGATCCTCCACATGAGACTGAGGTGGTCAGATGGGCAGTATTGTCAAACTGAGCCATTTACAGATTTGCACGATGGTAAGGGCTATCTGGAGTGTCAGTTATATCACCACAAAAATGCAGGACGGCAGAAACATGCAAAGAGGCTTTTGCCAGCAGCTTGCAACTTGCCAGGCCTTTCTGGCGTGAACTGGGCTACACCTTGGCTATGGCGTCGACATGATCAAGGTCTGGTCGCAGGGCCGGGATTGCCGACAATGCCAGCCCCCCTCTCAGGAGGGGGCTGGGCTCAAGTGCCGCTGGAACCGAGTCAAGCAACGACCTGGTTGCGTGAGCTCTTGAGGGGCTTGGCACCGATGTCAAGCCCTATGGATATAGGGACGCATTCCTTGAAGGCAACCTGGCTCAGTATTTTAGCAAAAGCTGGATGCGATGGCGACCTGAGACGATTGGCTGGGTACCACACTGACCCATCTGCAAAGATGGCATTAGAGTACAGCCGAGATGCACAGGCTCCTGTACTGATGGCAATGGATGCAGCGGCAGTTGCAATCGATCAAGGGCTTTTCGATCCAGACTCGTCCAGAGCTAAGCGTTGGCCTCGAAAGGGTTGCAACTCTTTACAAGCTGTCATGCATTTTCTTGCAGACATTGATGCTGAAGAATTTTAGTATCAGAATCAGAGCTCAGCCTTGGAACCTGACCTGAGTCAGACTGATGATATACAGGAAGGCATGGACTTCCCTGGACCGCCGTCTGAACCCTACTCTCCTTCTCATTCTGATGGCAGTCAATCTGTTGTTGAGTCAATTTCTTCCATCAGTGAATTGAGTGAGAAACCACTGCTTGGTAGGGATTTCGTCTCTTCAGACGAGGAGCGTGAGGCAGAAGTGGCCGCACCGATAGTAGGTGAAGAGCTTGCTGTGGCCTTAGAGCAGAACATTGACACAGAAGTGTTTAGGCATATCTTCAGCGGTTGTTGCCACATTGCACGAAACGCCAACACTGACCCTGATGATGGCGAAGCTATCCAGCTGAAGTGCGGGAAGCTGGCAACTAAGAATTTTGAGAAGGTGCGTTTGGCAGGCAACTTCCTGCCGTATAAATGCTCAAGGTGCTTCACTGGCGGTTGATGTTTTTTTGATTTTATTTCAAACTGTTTTGCATTGCGTGAGTTCTTTGGTCAGAAGTGATTTTGGGCACCACGAGTTTCACTGTTACTTGAGTGCAGCAGTTCAAGGTGCTTGGAACTCAGTTTTTGCATGTTCATGTCCACAGTGCGTCTTTCATGTCATGTTAAGTGTTTACAATGTTGAAACTGGTCATGTCACATGTCGTGAGTTGCATGCCCTGCAAAGTGAACCCCAGAGGGAGCTGCTCCAAGCAACCAGCAGTAGGGAATGCGTCAGGTGCACAGAGCTCAGACAATGACAGTTACAACCAACATTTTTTTTGTCAAAATGTATTCAAACAGTCACCTCGGCTTTTCAAGTTTGCAGTGTGTGATGTTTTTGATTGCAGAACTCACCATGCACAGAGCCCAAAGCTCTAATACCTGGCAGAGCGACAGTACAGAGCTGGAAGCTTGGGGCTGACAGGACTCCGTCCGCAAAGTGTCACAAAAGAGTGAAACCATTTCAGATTCAGTTGGCCGGTGATTCCGTGATTTGTCTTGTGAATCTTGTGACTTTTCTTTTCCTTTTGATTCCTGACTAATGAACATGTCACTGAAAGCAGTCATGTTGTGAGTCATGAAATCCACTTGCAAGCCATGACCACAGGGTCATGATGGATCCATGCATGACGTTGCATGGACAGGCTCCAGAACAGAAAGCTGTTACTGGAAAAGGAAAGACCTTTTGTGCTTCAATTTTCGTATAACGTTTATTTCATAGTCACTCATTTGCAGCCACAACCGGCGATAGCTGGTCCTTTTAATTTTGTCAGAGGAGACAACAGCAGTTCATTGCCCATCACCGCTTCACATTTGAGTTGTAGAGTGGTAGTGGCGACAGCCATGTCCCTAGTCGACAGCACTGCAGTGTTCGAAGCCAGAGCAGCGAGCATTGGTGTTCCTGACGATGTGGTGGCTGCGATGGCATTGAAAGGTTGGGTCAGTCATGGAACCTACGCATTTGCTGTTGCGACTCAACCGGGTGCTGACGAGCAGGCTTTTCTGGATGGGGTCATAATCCCATTGTTGGGTGGGGCAGACCACATTGCTGCGCCCAAGCTGCGTAGACTCTTTTTCGAGTCACACACATTGACATCAGCAGAACTTCGTCGCCAAGTTGATGCCACAGAGCAAGAAGCTCCCAGGAAGTTGCCTGCACCAGAGATCTCTCAGCGGATGGAGCTGCTTCAGGCTCGAATCAGGCCATTGATTGTGGCTAACTTCATGGAGCCGTCACATCATCTGATCAACTCATTGGTGCAATGTGTGGAGGATGGCAGGGTCAGGTACATTGAGTGGTCGCGTTGCACTTCTCGAACCCAGGAAGTCAATAACATCAAAGAAGATGGTGACCTGAAGATTTGGAAAACTGACAGCACAGGAACTATCAAGGCCACTACAAAGGAACCATCTATTGTGGCTTCATTGAACACGGAGTTGGACGTCCACAACGCTCTGAGACATCGAGGGGTTGCCTACGAGATTGCACAGGCAATGACGTTTGAGGTGCACGAGGCCATCATCAACTATTTTTTCTTTGAGCTCAAGAAGGATCCTATGGAGGGATTTGGACAGGTGACCCTTCAACAAGTTGCTGCAGCAGATAGGGAATTGCATGTGAGATTAGCAGAGGCTACGAGAGGAGGCTTCAAGACTGGGCCTGCTGGTGAACTTCCGTTGGACATCCATGTGAAACGGATTTTGGATGGACCTGAGCTCAAATGGATGCTCATGCCATTGCCAAAAAGAGCTGCAGGAAAGCCCACAACAGACGGTCCATCCAAGCCCTCGAACGATGCGGAATCGAAACGGAACAAAGCAGAGCCGAATAAGACAAAGCAGGATTCGTTGAAGCTAAAGCGGCTGAAACGAACACCCATGCCCAAGAAGTTGGTCGGTTGTGTTCCATGCAATGACGAAGGTCAGCCTCTGTGTTTTGCTTTCAACCTTGGGACATGTGCTAGCAGTTCAGATTGCCCGAAGGGGCTCCACATGTGTTGCAAGAAAGGCTGCAATAAAAGACATGCGTTTGTGGTTGCGCACAAGCAAGGGGCTTGACTATCAAGTGAGCTGATGGTAAGCCCACCAAAGGCTTGCATAAAGGAAGAAGTTCAACCTGTGGCTGCATCACGAAAGCGTGGCACAGCCGCTATCAAAGTGGACGACAGTCGTCCCAGTGAACCGGTGGCAAAGCGAAAGCGCTTGGTCACGGGTTGCTCAGTTGCAGAAGTGCACAACGTTGTTAGTGGTGTTGGTGACAAAGAGTCAACACAATCACCTCCGAAGGAGCATGACATTTTTGCAGAAGCAAGTTTAAAAGATGCAGAAGTGCAGTCTGGAAAACAGCTTTTTCTCTTAGATTTATTTTGCGGTACAGCAGGTGTGACAGCAGCTTTTAGAGCGTGTGGTGGTGATGCACTTGGCATTGATCACATCATTGATAAGCGGAGAGTCAAAGGCCCTGTCTCAAAGGTCGATTTGACGAAGAAGGATGGCCAGGAAACCATAATGGGATGGATATCAGCTGGAAAGGTGGACGCTGTTATGCTTGCCCCTCCTTGCGGCACAGCGTCGCGAGCCAGAGAAATACCGATACCAAAAAGACATCGCCTGCGTAAAGGCATGCAGCCAGCCCCCTTGCGGTCAGAGCAGTTTCCAATGGGGTTGCCAAATTTGAGAGGCGTAGCCAAGCTCAAAGTCCAGGCTGCAAACCGCTTATATTCGTTTGCAAGAAGGGTCATTGATTTGTGCGTGGCCATGGACATCCCTGTCATTTGCGAGAACCCACGCCGGTCTTTGATGTGGAACACCGATTATTTCAGTGACTTGCCGTCAGTTTGCCGTTTCCAACATGTGCACTCCTGTATGTACGGCGGCAAACGAAAGAAGCGGACTTCATTTCTTTTGAATTTTCATGCGCAAAATTTGTTACTGGAATGCGATGATAAGCATCAACATTTGCCTTGGGGACTTGTACAAGATAATGCGCTTTCTGAGATCAAGTTTTCGACCAGTCTCGAAACTGAATACCCTTCGGGACTTTGCAAGCAACTGGCATCAGCTTTTGTGGATAGGTTGTTACAACAAGGCAAAGATATTGCCCAAACACCACTCCAAATGGAACAAGCCCAGCGCATGGGCTCAGGCTTGCAGCCGCGTGGAGGTCGTGCACCACTTTTGTTGGGTGACTTCAAGTTCAAGATTGACGTGACCTCCGAGGATGTGGACATTCCTTCCCAAATAAGTGAATCAGTGCACCCTCCATTCCAAGGTATTCCTATCCATTCAAAGCTGATTTCTTCTCGATTAGTTTCTGAAGTGGGGGATGAGGGCGAGAAGAGAACACGTGCGATCTCGACCTTTGGAGTTTTCAGGTCTCCTTTCGAATTCCTGCACAGAGCAATGACCCTTGAACATCCCCTTGACACTCCCCACAATGTGGACAAATCCAATTTGAAAGCAATTTTATTTATAAGAGACCACAGTGCGTCAGAGGTTGTACAGTTCAGAGCAAAGCAACTCAAGAAGTACATGTCACGAGCAGCTCAATTGAGCGAGCAAGAATTTCAGTTCAAGGAGACGCTAGATGTGGACGTAAGACGCGTTTTGGAAGGGAAGAGACTTTTACTTTTTAAGGAGATGGCCGCTGACGCCAAGGTGGGTGATGAGACTCTTTTTCAGGAGTTAACGGAAGGGTTCAGGTTGACTGGTGAGATGCCCCAGTCAAAACAATTTCCTGCGAAGTTGAAACCTGCGATGATCTCAGTTCAACAACTCAGAGAGTCTTCAGTTTGGGCAAAGGAGATGATCCACTCCTCTTGCCGTAGGGTCGGTTCAGATCCTGAGATTGCGAAGGCTGTGTTTGAAGAGACGCAACAGCAACTGAAGGATGGGTGGGTACGTGGTCCTTTTTCGGCCACGGATTTGGATGTGAAATATGATGGCTGTTGGGTGCCTTCAAAACGTTTCGGAGTGCGTCAGGGAGGAAAAATTAGAGCAGTTGATGATTTTTCTGAATTTTTGATCAACGCCTCGGTCACCTCTACAGAGAAACTTCAGTTGTTTGGCTTAGACGAGGTCGTCAACACTGCAAGAACTTTTATTGGATGTGATTTTCTTAGGGCTGATGACCTCTTGGAAAATTTGTGGTGTGACCCGGCCGTGCGTTTCTTCAAAGGTCCCTGGACTGACATCATGGGAAGAGCACTGGATTTGAAGAGCGCCTACAAGCAACTAGCAAGGCATCCCGATGACAGTTGGGCATCTATTTTGGCAGTTTGGAATTTTGAGACTTCAATGGTGGAATACTACGAATCATGTGCACTGCCTTTTGGGTCAATATGTGCGGTCATGGCATTTAACCGCATGGCACGTGCCCTCAGACTGATTTTATCTGAGCTTTTCTGCGTAGTCAACACAAATTTCTTTGATGATTTTTGTCAACTTGAAAGGAGTGAGCTGTGCGATTCAGCATGGCAGTCTGCAGAGTTGGTTATGCGCCTTTTGGGATGGAGGATCTCAATGTCTGAAGACAAACGTGGCCCCTTTGCGAAGGAGTTCAACCTTCTTGGTGCCGTGATTGATCTGTCAGGCGCTACGCAAGGAATGGTATCGGTACACAACAAGCCTTCCAGGATTTCTGACCTACAAGAATTGGTCAACAGCATTTGCAATAGCCAGACAGTGGCGATATCGACTCTGGAGACCCTCAAGGGTCGTCTCTTGTATGCCGCAGGGCATACGTTTGGAAGATGTACTCAATTGGCAATTCAACTGATTTCTCGGGTGGCTCGCAGAGGCCCTTTGGTACTCCTTGACGAACAGCTTAAACATGTCATTGTGAGAGCAATGCGCTGCTTAGTTAACTCGAAGCCAAGACGAGTGGAAGCTTGGTCCGGAAGGGTCCCCATCATTTTATTCACAGATGGTGCCTGCGAGGATGAGGGCGCTCTGGTAACACACGGTGCAGTGTTATTTGACCCTGAATCAAACTTGGCGCTTATGTTTGGTGATGAGATCCCTCATGAATGGACCTCGAAATGGAAGTCTGAGGGACGCAAACAGTTGATTTGTCAAGCTGAGCTCTTCCCAGTGATCATCGCGAAGAATACTTGGAAAGATGCTTTGAAGGGACGTTCAATCCTTTGGTTCATCGATAACAACTCTTCTCTTGCGGCGATCATCAGATCGTACTCTCCAGTACTCGATAACTTTGAGATGCTTGTGATTAATGCTCGATTGGACACAGAACTTCAGTGCCTACATTGGTACTCCAGAGTACCATCCCGATCCAATCTTAGTGACGATCCGTCACGACTTGTTTTCAAGGAACTTGAAAGTCAAGGCTTCGAAAGATGCACACCATGTTACAATCTCACGAGCGGGTGAAATGGGGTGGCAAGGCGTGAGATATAAAGATGTCTTACGCGTAACACGAAAGCGTGCCGACTCCCCAATTACCTAAAGGTGAGAAAAAAGTTACAGTGTGAATTTTTAAAGACGTCAGCTGTGCAAGCACTTTCACGATGTGCATTTCTCCGTGTCGAATTCACGTTGTCATTTTGATATATATATATATATACTTACTTGAGTGTTTGTATATATATATATACACGTTTTCAATTTAATTTTTGTTTTGTAAGCAACGCGCAAACAGGGACGCGAGCGTAAAGGTAGAGGTGAGCTTTGGTTTGATAAGCTGCGTCTCACTTTAGTGATGAGCCTTTATAAAACCTTGCTCACAGGTGGTGAGCCACCGTCCTCTTCCTTGCGCGTGCTGCGTCCTTTCCTCCGCGTTCGCGTTTCGAAGTTTCTGGAAGATTGACTTCTGAAACCTCCGTTTTTAAACAACTTGAATCTTCTGTGGTTTGAAGTTGTTTTTGAAATTTGCGGTCTTGAACTTTCAACATGTCCAACTTCAGTGTGCTGTGAGTTTTCTCATTTGGAATGTTATGATCAGTCGTTCACCGCGTTTTTAAAATTTCAAGGGAGGGTGGGTGGGATAAAAGTTCTCACTACCCGGAGTTTCAACCCGCCCTCCCAACCCTCTCCGGGCGTGAGATATAAAGATGTCTTACGCGTAACACGAAAGCGTGCCGACTCCCCAATTACCTAAAGGTGAGAAAAAAGTTACAGTGTGAATTTTTAAAGACGTCAGCTGTGCAAGCACTTTCACAATGTGCATTTCTCCGTGTCGAATTCACGTTGTCATTTTGATATATATATATACTTACTTGAGTGTTTGTATATATATATATACGTTTTCAATTTAATTTTTGTTTTGTAAGCAACGCGCAACCAGGGACGCGAGCGTAAAGGTAGAGGTGAGCTTTGGTTTGATAATTTATGAAGACCAGTGTCATCTGAAATGTGGACAAAGACAACTGTGGTGAGTTCTCCATATGGACCGACATAGCGTAACCGTTCTTTCCACCAAGCAGCGACCATTGGCCAATGGCTGAGTCCAGGCACAGACTTGACCTCGTCCGATTGCAAATCACGATTGTCCGTCACCAAATATACCGTATGGTAAGGCAAGAAAGCAGAGCTTTGACTAACCAACCATCGGTACAACTTGTGCCAGTCAGGTCCAGGTACGGTTTCGCTCCCGTTGACCATTGCAATTTCGTAGTCATGGCGATCAGGTTCAGCTGTCTTCTTATGGGGGTCACCAAATCGCCAGTGCTGTTCAATTGATACATTCAGCCCGTACTCAGTAGAAATGCTCTTGTGCTGTTCAAGTGCGTAGAGCAAGTCAAAGAAGCTGATGTTAGGGTTCTTCGCGTACCAGGACTTCACAACTTGTTCCCTGGAAAGCAGAGACATCACACTGTGCAGTTCCTGTGTAGCAGACTTGGGTGTAAAAGTTATTAAGGGGGAGGGTGGGAGGTGTTGAGAATCCTGACACGTCTTTGGTCAGAAGACTCAAGCACTCCAGTCAGTCTCGAAAGTCGAAATCAACCAAAAAAGGGAAAACCAAAGCAAGACCAACAAAACAAACAACAACCAGAAAAGGCCAAAAGCAACACAAACCAAAGAAACAAGGGGGGAGGGGGCAAGTGTTGAAAAACCTGACACGTCTTTGGCCAGGCAGTTCAAGCACCTTAACAGGAGACAAGTGGAATCGAAAATCACCCAACACTCAAGAATTTAAGGTACGACAGCACAGCAGAGGCGGCGCACAAGGCAGTGAGGGAGCAAAAGTGAAATCAGGGGGGAAGGAACGGACAAGAGAGGCTGGAAGCCCTGACAGTCTTTAGTCAGAGAATCCAGGCACGAAAATGAAAAGGAGAAGGTGAGGGAAAGGATGGAAAGGAGAGAAGGGAGTAAGGCGAAAGGAGATAACGCAAGAGGGGTACTATCGTGGAATAAGGTCCCAATGCACGAAAGAGCAAGGTGTGATCTGTTGTATGACAAAGCAAGCCAGTAGTAATACCCTTTGCCCAATCACCGGAAAGGTTTGCTATATCGATCCCTCACCGAGGTAAGGAGGCACTATATGTTTCCCTTTTCTAGAAATAAGCTGAGGCAGCAGGTCTGTCTACTGCCGTACTTTGAGCCGATAGGATCGCATGGAGCGGTAGCTACATGTAACAGAGCACACGATACTTGTGTAGTGAAAGACATCATGGTTGAAATGAAGAATGTGACTAATGTGTACTGCTCTTTCGTTTTTCTTAGGGTCACAAGCAGGCCAGAATTCAGCCTTTACCTGGTGCCAGCCTCTCACTGGGAAAGTGTTCATCTGGAGCACACAATTAGTCAACTTGGTGCAGGAATGTTTCTTCCCGGTTGAGCTCCGGGGGTGATTGCAGCTCATTTCGTATTCGTACTGGTAAATACAGTCCTTCTAGTATTCTGCGCCATCGAAACGTAGCGAAGTTTATCTGTCGAGACTGTTTTTCAACGATATGTTGGTATTTCCACACAGTTTGATTCATGATAATGGTGGCCCTATCTGTCAAAGCTGTGGGTTTCACTCGCGCCAGAGAAGATTGCTCACGTCTCACCACGTCTGTTGCGCTACAGAATTGCTGTAGCAGGTCAATGACCGTGTCTTCAGCACTCTGCGCAGCAGCAGCTTGTACAGCGTTGAAGACTTCTTTACGGGCAGGGTGACCGTACCATTGCAGTGAATGGCAAAGCACGGAGGCAATCGCAATCTCCTGCCACGGGTCCGCTTGTGCATCTAGGAGCAGCTGTACATTTGTCCTGTGCCGATGGAGGACAGCAAGGAAGAGGGGTGGTAGCGCTCCTTTCACGGGCATCACCGAGGCACCAGCCTCAAGCCAAGTTTGAACAAGCTGCGAGCTGCCCAACTCAACTGCTAATTCCAACATAGTGGTAGGTTGCGTTTTGGGCGGGATGATATTGGGGTCAGCTTGGGCTTGTAACAGTAGATAGGTTAAACTGGCCCCATGTCGAGGGAAGCAGTGGCCAGCAATAGGCTGGTAAGCATACGGATCAGCAGAGTGGTCTCGAAGGATAGCAGAGGCTACTAATGTGCTGATATGCCCTCCCTCAGTCGTCACGTCCATAAGGCCTACGCCCTTGCCAAGAAGATAGCTTACATCCATCACATCTTTGTGATCAATGGCAGTTATAAGGTCTTGATATTGCTGTGCTGACGGGACTTGCAATGACTGCACTATATAGCATAATGCTGCCTCATTTGTATCAGTGTCGAATTGGACAGCCCTCAATGGCGATTGGATTACTGACGAGCTGTCTGCGTAGAGGACCACTTGGAAGGGTGAGTCCAACCTAAGCACCATCGCCGTCTGTTTCATAATGTCCCATCCGAGAGTTGTCCGTTCCACGACGTCCATTGTCAGGGTTGTTTCGCCAAGGATTCCATGGCGCACACGGAGCCGCATACTTGCCCCGTAAGATGAAGCGGAGGCAACCCTGACAGTCTTTAGCCAGAGAGGCCTCGCACTTATGACTGCAACCACAAACCTCGTCTAGGTAGGGGATAGGAAGGATACTGAGGGGTATGCCTGGAAGTATGAAAGTCAGCAACTGATTAGACCATTTGTACTCGAGCCAGAATTGCTTCGCAGATCAAACAAGAAAACCTTGCCACGTGGTCTCATTGACATGCAAGACAGCACAATTTATGCGTAACAGCAGTCAAATGTCACAGGCACGTGCTGTGCAGCCGTCGGTGATAGCACAGGTCTAGCAGATACGGCAATCTATTTAGTAAGAGACTTGCTTGTACCAGGAAACGGTGGTGATAATCAAAACAGTGCTTTTGTTTGAGCCAAAAATGTTGCAGGCACTCCACCGAGCAGCGTTACAAATGGCCACATGCTCACCAAGACACATCCTGCATGTGTGCAGAGGATAACATATCGCAAGACAATGTTTAATCAAGCATTCTTATATATTGCATTCTAATTGACTTTTACTGATCCATCAGTAGGCGTACCATCTAGTGCAATTACCTTCTTTTCACGTCCTGCATCCTCGGGGTGAGAATAAGGCCACAGTCTTCGCTGTGGTTCCTTCGGACTTTATACAGCATGCAGATGTCAATCTCATGTGCACTCAGTTCTGACTTCCCTCTGTAGCTGGCTCTGTGCAAGATTCGGTTGGAGCAGCTGAAGCAGCTTGCCCCACATCTTCCTCTTTAGCCGTTGCTTGTTCTTGCTCGATTTGCACTAAATTGCTCACTACTTCTTCCATTTGGGTGGCTGCTTCCATGACAGCATTTAATAGAGTGCGTGCATACGCCAGCTGTTTAGCAGCCCGGGCCCGGCCCTCTGCTGCAGGTCCTAGTGGCGGTACTTCACCATGTCGCCACATCATGACTTTGCTGGTTGTATGGGTTGGCACTGTTGCGGCTGATTTAGTCTCAGACTGATCGGCAAAGGTCGCATTAAGTTTCTGCAGATCACGGGCACTGTAGTTCCCGGACGGGTCAAACTGTTGGGTACTCGTTTGTCCCGAGGGGTCCGAGTACTTTCTCTTGCCATGTAGGTTATCTTCTCTACGCGGCATAGGCTTCATGGCACTCTTGTGTTCAAAGCCAGTCTTGAAAGTTTCGTGAACTGCTGAACTACAGCGGGATTCTCTGTTCAGGGCGATGGTTTTGTCCGTCACCTTGCCTGAGCTATTGGTCAGTTCAGTGAAGGGCCAGCACGGTGTGCGATTTGCCAGGATATTATGTTCATGCATCCTGTCGACATAGAAATGATTCAATTTCTCATTGTGTTGGTGGTTCGTGATGACTGCAAATCTTCTGGGGCTAACCCAAATCCATAGATCTTCCTGAAAGGAATCTGTGGCATAGAAGGGCCATATCTGTCGGCCTCCCATTTCCACAAACCAAAAGTTGGTATAGTCGTCATCACTGGCCTCAGTATCTACGTGACAGAAATCATGCGACAATTTGGCG